ACTGAAACTTTATTCTGAACAACATCGTATTGACCCTTAGAAAAAGTACTAAATAAGATGTAGGGCTCCACTCGAAGCGGCTAAAGCAAGGCAAGTTCTCTCTACCTATACCACTGAACTGTTTAGCTTCGGGGTTATATAAAACCATTACGATCGCCTCTAATCGTTCACAGCCGCAAGTGACATCTTCTCAAAACGTTCCTTGCGCCGGCGAGAGGTGAAAGGCGGCTGTATTCACGGGCTAGGCCAATTTCAGACGTCGAGTTTTATGATTACGGGTAAAAGGTACATTTCTACCTCATTTGAATTGGATGCCGGCGGTATATGTAAAGTTTGACATCTAAAACATTAATCCATTCTCTTGATGGACATACGCTTCTATGGTCTCTCATATTTTCACGAAATCGATATAACTTAATAAAGCAGGAAAAAGTATTCACTAGAATGTTCAGTCACCCGTTAATGAAGTGAATAAAAATGCTGATCGTAAAAATTGCAAGTCAATTTTCGTGAACGAAATGGGACTCAAGAAAACCACTTCAGTGGCAGGAAAATTAACACAAGCAATATCTTCCGATCAAAACAGCCTCTTTGTCGTCGCGAAAACCCTCATCAGAAAAACCTTTTCACATAACAAAAGTCTTAGCCGTGTTTCAGTTTCGGTCCTAAATGCTTCGTAACTTCAACAATTGCGCGTGAGTCTCGCCTTTCTTTCTAATATGGCGTCTTTCGACTGTCAAAATCTGTGAAGGGTCGTCAACGCAAACATCACTGCATGTTCTTGAAACGGCTTGCTCCTTTCCAGGCTCTCTTTGAGGATTCGCGACGCTTTGAGTTCGTTAAACCATAATCCCTGAAGTGGCTGGTTAGAGAAAGCTTGTTAAGGCAGGAAATGGATTCTGCTTACTAACCACTAACTTCTGATGTTGATGGGATATATAGCCTTTGATGTAACCCTGAGACAAAAAAGAATGTTACTAATATTAACTTTACAACAAGGACACCCACACGCCTACAAAAGAAAGAAACAAACATACATCTCAAGAATCAAACGAGTGCGCTTGGGAACAAAAAAGATAAAGGAATCTCTCCAAATACATCTCTTTGCCAGACTTCAACAAAAAACCATTTCTAGCACATCTACCAGGAATCGACACTTTCCAAACAAACATTCCGTCAACACGAATTTACTAGCCTATGTAGGCTAGAATTTACGGGGGACGGGTGGATCATGTGGATTACAACAGCTCAGTCGGTAGAGCGCTTGACTGCAGAGCGGGAGGTCGAGGTTAGCGTGGCTTGGATGACCACGTAAAACGGCGGTAAAAATAATGTCCTAAATTTGTACTTTCGTGCTAATTACATGCATACCGAACGTAGAAACGTCTAGTTTGAAATCTCTCGAAAGATGACGCCCAGCTACCCACCTCATATATAAGATTTGCCACTATGCATTCAACTTCAATAACGTCTACGTCGTCAACCTACAATCACATTAAACATACAGTAAAGTTAGAATAAAATAACTATCATGGCCCACTCGATTTCTTTGCCATGCTTCTTCAACCCTTTCACAGCAACAGTTATACTAGAGGGCGTTAAGCACGTCTGGACTAGTTAAGTACGATGGCGGGAATGCGTCTCGCTTTTAAACTCAACATCTCAAAAGTCTGAGACCACAAAGACGTCTATCAAGTGCGTTGATCAGACGCACTTAAATTCAGACGACGCTCAGTTTGTCTGACTTTTAATACGTCTGCTTTATTTCCCGTTTTTCCCGCCTTGGACTGCAAAACAGTCGTGCTTTTTTTTCTCAAAATCGCTCTTTGCAAAGCTTAAGGCGCGACATTTTCGCGCGAAGAGCGCAAGCCTCATACGCCCGTTTTCACATTCCGTCTAGGCCTTTTGTTTTACGACAGCTTGCATTCGAATAAGAAACCAAACGCAAAAATTCGGCTATTTCGCGGTCTAAGCGTCTAGACAGCAACCAATGTGTTCTTCCAACATCCTAAATGAGTTATTACAGTTGTTATGAAAACCACCAGAAAGGTCCCTGTATGACAAACTCTCAAAGCGACCCCTTTAAAATGGCTTTATTTACCTTCATTCCTTTAAGAGCAACAACATACGCATCTAACGGTAACTGATGAGTTTTTAAAAGAAGACTCCTGGAACAAAAGAAGTTGGAAATACTTTTCATTAGCGTAAATATTTCTATAATTTAATTTCTAAAAGATAATTGAGAAATACATGTATTTATAGCCAGGACCTTTGCCATAGTCTGCTTCATTTCGACATATAAAGTAACTACAAACTGACCAAGAGCTACAATATAAATCCGACCGATTTTCCTCGCTTAGAATAATGTCGCCGTATCAAAGAAATAGCCAAAAAAGGAAGATGATGGAGGGTGATTGGGGCTGTTGGCTCTTGCGTAAAAACTACATTAACTTACACTTTTTTGAATAAATTCCTATACGTGATGATCTTCAACTTCTCTAGGATAAGGTAAACACCGCACTGTATGAAGAAGACCTGGAAAATAGTAATCAATGCTAGACATGAAGAAAAACACAGAAATAACTTGCACACAAACCTACAGTAATGCTAGCGTTACAGCGGTTAGCGCATTCATCCCTCACAAGTGCATGCTGTATTCTCATCACTACAACTTTCATGCAGTGATTACCATAACTGGAGCTTTAAGAGTCAACTCTTCAAAATAAATTAGATTCTTCTAAGAAACTTCTAACAGATGTTTGAAGACCTTAAATTTTAGCATAATAAAGCATAAGTAAAGACTTTCTACCCGCGCTGACTTTATTTAGGTAAAAAAAGTGTCTAACTACAAACACGTTTTGTCATTGCAAAAGAGACATGTCTTAGTACCTGTTGTCTTTCCAACGTCTCATTTAAAAGTGCAAGATTGCCCATTCTGAAAGTGAACGTAAGACACTCGTTGTAAATTAAACTTGCACAACGGGCGCTAAGTTTATCGCCTTTTTCAGGCAAGCATGAAGCGGACGTTGAGCGCTGAGAAGGTCGGTAGCTCTCCAGGCAAGGATTGTGGTTAAAGAACATAGCAATAGTAGCCTGAATTTCATCCGATTACTTCGAGTCGTTATTACTCCCTCAGTTGTTGAGGAGAAAACGACTCGAAGCAATCGGATGAATTTCAGGCTAATAGCAATAGATGATTCAACACAAACAGTGCCCCTGGCCCTTAAAACCAAAGAAGCTACTGCTTTAGCTTATAGATGTCACTCTGAGCGCGAGAGAATGTCGCGCGTGTCTCGCGCTTCATGTCTGCTTCGTACTAGCCTGAGAAAGTTCTGCAGGCTACTGTAAATTTATCTGCATGCATGCAAATGCATCAAAAGTACTAGCAGAAACGGCAAAAATGACATAGTCCATATTAGGGTTTAAACGTTAAAGACAGTCTTCATACCTGACAGCTCTGACAACATCTAGAAACTGAGTCAAGTTGTATTTATACAGAAGTTGTTCGTTTGGCATATAACCCTAGACCAGACCACAGTGGAAGTTATTACCAGAAAGTTGAACTTACAATCTAACCGTACAATTTCGTTGCGAATAATTAATGCTTAAAACAACAACAACAACGAAATATCTGCAGTTTAGTCTACTTACAATATTGCTACTGAAAATGACTTTTGATCGAACATTGAAAGTGAGGAGTCATTAAAGAAGAATTTTTTTTTTTGCAAAAACGTGAAGAGGACGGAAGACAGAAAGGACACTAGAAAGGTTGCTACACTATGTATGGGTACCATTTATCAAGAGAGGATACACGAAAGGGGTACTTTTTCTAATTAAAGTGGTATATATGTTGTGGTTCAATTTCATCCTTGGTTTAAATTTTATTTTCCAGTGTTTCAAACTCATTATCATACATTACCATACCCAAAAACAAAAGAAAATAAAATTTAAACCAAGGATAAAATTGAACCACAACATATACTTGTAAAAGGGTATGGGGTTGGACCTTGGCGCGGAGCCTTCCTGTACACAGTAGACTCTCTCTTAACGGACACCTCTGTAAAACGGACACAAAGAGTTGGTCCCTGCCTTTCTTTCCTCCCTTTATTTAACTCTCTATAAGCTGGACATCTCTCTAGGACAGACACTTAGTACTGGCCCCAAAGGTGTCTGACTTAGAAGGAGCTGACTTGACACTTTTTAGAGCGCCCTTGCACTCCGGGACCTTAGTCATGTCGTTCTTAAGGCATTGACAGAAACAAAAATGGTCAAACAAAACACAGTTGAGCCATTGACTTACCAGCAACATTTTCACAGGTATGAGATAAACTAAAATCGCCCTGCAAAACCCAAACAGTCATGAATTCAAAATATGATAGCTAGCAAAGAACCCATTTGATCTGGATGGAGAGGAAAGATATTCACTGATGGAATGAAAAAAATCAATGGATCTTAAGGTTTAAATCCACTGCACAAGCCAATTCTCACTACGCCTCAACATCACAACTAGTCTCGAGTTAAATAATGATGAAATAACAGTATTATTTTCATTGAAAAAAAACTATAAAAAATAACCCTTGTTGTAACAAGAACTTACTATAACAAAGAACAATACATTAAATTTCGCACAAAAATAATTTTTATTTCTTTTATTGTGTAAAAAAGCACTTTCACGGCTTATCCTTACCTTTTGTTTTTACTGGAGGATCTGTGACAGCGTTGAAATGCAAATGTTAAGAATTCATCAGCTAACAGAGAGGTAAACACAAACTTGAGTCCAAAAAAATGAGAATACGTTTATATTGAAGTACTAAGTGCCCAGGCATAAAAAAAGAGAAGATCAAGCGCTTTCACCAATGTTTGCAAAGAGGGGGAGAGCCTATGTTAAGTCTAAGATCCGAGTGATCAGATAATTTGAGGAGACTTACTATTGTCCAGTACCTGCAAACATCAATAACCCTATTACTGCTCTTCACACTATAAATTATGTGCCATCCCAAGATCATATTTTTTCATAACAGGGGACATAAGGAGGGTCTAGAAACCTCATAACCATACAGCTGTACCACTCAAAATTTACCCAAACTTGCAGCAAAACTAACTCAAGACCACATCACCACAAACCTTACACATCTCTCATTCAGTGTAAATTTGCTCTTTTACCACCAGTGACAGTTTAAAAGCTTTATACTAGTACAAACAGAGATTTTGTTGCAATAGCCTTGGTTAGAGAGAAACAAGGGGCTGACTTAAAGATTTAATTTTGGGGTGATTTTTTATCATAATAATCTAGAAAAGTTTTCTCAAAGGTATGGTTGATGACATACAGCTGTACTGTACAGAGCAAATTCAAAACTGTTATAAATCATTCTAATATCTTACCAGCTTTGAAATCACTATCAAACATGGCTTTCCTTCCAACAAAATATCTAGTAAAGGTAGAGGAAAAAAAAAGAATATTTTTTAAACATAACCTAAACAAAACCATTAAAATGTGTCCCTCAAGATCCCCATAATGATACCAGTTTTATCAGATAAATGAGATTGGGGAGGAGTGTAGCATGATAAGACAAAAAAGGCTGCAAGGGAGACTAATATAAGATTGAACTAGAGCCAATGTTGGAGAAAGTATTTCCTTATACCTAAAGGTACAGAACGTACATGTTTTGTAACAGTGCCAAGTTAAAAACAAACATTTCTAGTAAAGTTAACCCAGTACACTAAAAACAAACCACACTGGACAGCAAATCCCCTGACTTACAGGTAGAATATGCTTTATTATTAATGAAAATATTTTTCAGTTTTTAATTGCCTTAATATCAGCTGGCTAATTCTTTGTAACCAGCTAGGGTTTACCAAATTTTGGAAGATGTTTCCTGATATCAATGTGATTGACACAGGTCGTATTGATATAGAAAGAAAAAGGGATGCACATCATGCCAAAACAAAATTAGCTGCACTGCAGTACAGTAAACACCCACATATAAGAACAAATGGATTAAGAACACCAGGCTGAAATTTGGCCAATAAAGCCCCATTTTTATAAGAACAAGATCAGCCTGAAAATTGTAACATGTTCTTATAAAATGGAAAAAGTGTCATAATTACAAAACGTGTAAGTTTATGTTTGCTGTCAGATAACTTCATTTGTTAATATAATCAAATTACAGAATAATTATTTATTTTAGTTTCCTAAAAGATGCTAAATATACCTCTAGCAACATGTTTTGGATAGTATTACTAAAGAAAAATTTGAGAACATTTTAAGGACATTTTGAGGCTGATTTGTCATTAAGCACCTGATAAATAAGAACTCAATCAGCCTGACCTCCGAAATCGTGTGTTCTTATATGCCGGTGTTTACTGTATCAAAAGCATGATAAGAATAAACAAGAATACCAATCAACGGATGACAACTGCTATACAATTAAGAATATCTGCTAGTCAGAATAAACATCCCTTCAAAGCCAAAAACTGCCAAGGAACAAGCCAATGTCTGACAACAAGAACTATACATGGACATATGTATTTATACTGACAAAGCAAGAGTTCAAGATGGCTGCAGATTGGCCAAGTTCTTTTTTTGCATATTATGGACTGAGAGAACAAGGCCAATATGCAGCCATCTTGACCAAACAAGCTTGATCAATAAAGGATTTTTAATACATTATGTTCAAAAAGAGCACTTTTTCGTGCAAAATCAACATGAGAATCCCAAGCAGGCAAGTTGGTAGCTAATCAGAACAATATAGAATTTGCTTCATCTTGCTCACAGGTTTAGCCATAATAATAAAAAGAAGTAAGCATGTTTTAAGCTTGGAAGTGGATTTGGCCTCTGTATGACAGTTCTTCACGTCCAACCTTTTTCAAAGTCACCTTTTGGCTATCCAAAATTATAAAAATAACTAATGGCTGCCAGACATAAAATATTGTTCACCAAAAAAAGTACTTTGAAGAACATTACGTGAATAATAATAGTAAACAAAGTTAGAAAATGGCTGCCTAACTATTCCTATCCAACATCTCAAGGTTTAATCAGCTCTGAAAGCAGCCACGGTGAAAGACGAAATAGTAAAGAAAGTAGAAAACACTAGGACTCGGCACATTTGTCGCCCCTCCTCCCCCACCCCCACACCAAAAAAAGAAAAACACTGCAGTTCTAGTCAGCAACATTTTTTCTACTCGCCATGGCACCCAAAGCAGCCAAAGTGTGGATTTTAATAACATGAAGAATGGGACATATCTTAAAGGGCATTATCCCCCATCCTCCTCAATCTACACAATTCTTTATATCATACTCAGCCACATCCAATGATCACTACTTATGAAGCAACTTACTGTAGGTTCAGATTACCAGCAGGAAAAAATTGAATTCCAGGACTATTAAACTTCAAGGACACATTACCTGGGAAATCTAATACTGTTATATCGCTAAACAGACACTCACCTGTAGGTAACCAGGTGAGCCAGTTTAAACTGGTCTTTGATTGGAGCACTATCAATTGCTCTGATCAAAGGCTNAAATAACTAATGGCTGCCAGACATAAAATATTGTTCACCAAAAAAAGTACTTTGAAGAACATTACGTGAATAATAATAGTAAACAAAGTTAGAAAATGGCTGCCTAACTATTCCTATCCAACATCTCAAGGCTTAATCAGCTCTGAAAGTAGCCACGGTGAAAGACGAAATAGTAAAGAAAGTAGAAAACACTAGGACTCGGCACATTAATTTGTCGCCCCTCTTCCCCCACCCCCACACCAAAAAAAGAAAATCACTGCAGTTCTAGTCAGCAACATTTTTTCTACTCGCCATGGCACCCAAAGCAGCCAAAGTGTGGATTTTAATAACATGAAGAATGGGACATATCTTAAAGGGCATTATCCCCCATCCTCCTCAATCTACACAATTCTTTATATCATACTCAGCCACATCCAATGATCACTACTTATGAAGCAACTTACTGTAGGTTCAGATTACCAGCAGGAAAAAATTGAATTCCAGGACTATTAAACTTCAAGGACACATTACCTGGGAAATCTAATACTGTTATATCGCTAAACAGACACTCACCTGTAGGTAACCAGGTGAGCCAGTTTAAACTGGTCTTTGATTGGAGCACTATCAATTGCTCTGATCAAAGGCTTGCACAAGTGAAGTTTATTAATCTGCAAATCATGGTTGAATTCAAAAAATAGTTTACTAGGCATAAGGCAGAGAAAGCTTCATACTAGTAAAGATGCTGCACTTCAAGATGTCTCAGAATAATAAATGTGTTATGTAACATTGCTTATAACAGGGTGTTCATTAGACATCGGAGATCGGAGCATTCTCCAACTAATGTTCAGTAGCATATGATAATTTTTTATTCAGACGTGGAGTCTCTTTCAAAATATTCTTCTGTAACATTACACGTTCCTCCTGCTACTACAATTCTTAATGAAAACCCTGTTATATTATAAGCAAACCCCTTCTCTAGGAAAAATCACAGCTTTTACCTCTACACAAAAAAAGAAGACCCCAACTTTGAAATACACACTACAGGGCAAAACTCTTCCTATTAACACAAAATTATACCCTTGCCCTTCAATGAAAGCAAAATACATGTACCAGTATATGTGACTTGAGCTACAGTGTACATTGCAATGAAGCTAAATATGTTCTACATTTGCCTGCATGTCACTCTTTACATGAAATAGAAATTCTATGACTACTACTAACTTACATGTACATAAACTAAGCTAAACCATCACTTACCTTAAAGTAAATCTTGAACAAATGATTGACAAGCGCTAACATGCCCCACTTCTTGGAAACATCAAGGGATGAACGGCTTTAAAGGAAATAATACACCTGTAAGGCACTATATCTTTTAATTGAAAAGGATGACAAACGTTTGCGAAATTCAAATTACAGTAAGACATATTATAATCAGTCCTGGAGTCCATTTCTTGAACGCCTGGTAACTTTTCAGGCCAAAATTCAAATTTGAAAATCAAAACCTGTTGAAAAGTAGTACAGTTCCTAAATCACAAACCATTCAATTTTGCTTTGTTAACTGATAGTTTCACTGTATCTTTTTCAAAATTATTGATCTACAATGCAAACATGGCAAACAGCCTTTTGAATATGAAAAGTTACCGTAACTTACAAGGAATGGGCTCCTACGTGTGAAAATCTTTTTTGGGCTGGTCAAAATGACTCTTGGGTTATTACATGCTAGCCACAGCCTGCCCAAAGGACAAGCCGTAAAACTGACTTTCTTTGTACCCTAGTAATTTACTCAATTTACCTGTCACTTGCACAGACCCTAAAGCAGCCCATCATAACCTCAGCTGCTTTCTCAAGCATTTCACCAGGTTTACCTTGTCTGCTTTCAATAAGCTGTTTGTCTGCCTATCGGTATCAATAAATAGTACAGTGTAAGGATCACTTTTGCACAACCACGCCCAATTTCTCAACTGCAGATGACCTTCAACCCAATGTTAAATTTTAACTAGAATTGCATCTATTTTCTCAGAGACTGAATTTATCTGCCATTTCAGGTTACCATAACTGGGTCTTTTGAACACTTACATGTACCATCAGTCAGAACTGGCTGTCTAGACCAGCCCATATGGATTTTCAGAAGATTGCCCAGCTATATCAGTAAGCTCATAAGTAATAAGAATGGCAGTGATGAGATTTTAATGAAAACTATCAACAAAAGCCTATAAATTTCATTTTCAAAATGACCAGCTGGCCAGTCAGGTCTGATTTTGGTAAGCACCTAGCTCAGTATGATCTAAATAATAGTTCTTGAGCTCCAGACCAGGAAGCAAAAGAGGTAAAAAGATGCACTTTACGGCGACCTCTCTCTTAAAGGACACCTCTATAAGATGGACACCTCGGTAAAATAGACACCTAGAGTTGGTCCCTGCCTGTCTTTACTCCCATCATTTGACTCTCTGTAAGACAGACATCTCTCTAAGACAGACACTTACACGTAGTGCTTATCCCAATGGTGTCCATCAACTAAATAGAAAGAGTTGACAGTACTACAAAGAAACAATCATTTTCTTATTACACCTATTATATGTACAAAGGACATAGAGTACTGTATGTGGGTGTACAGTGTATGTTGTAAACAGTGCACTTGGGATTACCTGCATTGCAAAGAGTCTCAAATCTAATGTGACAGCATTCATCAGTGGCAAGGCCCTAACAGGTAAAGAGTCAAAATTATTTGAAAATGACAGATCACAGTCAGTTTAAATAGGCTGAGTGATCAATACACAGAAACTTCAGCTAAACCTTGTTTCTATACAGTAATGGAAGGCATGGAGATTGTAGAGTTTTGTTGTGAGAGTTCTAGTCTGTATTTCTTCCTCATTTTTTGAGTTTTTTTCTTTGACCAAACTAGACTCAAGCTCTCCTAAAGGTAATTATAAATAATTAAAAATAAATAGAAGCACATCAAACTGACCATACTTTTATTATTTATTGTGAAGTAAAGCAGAGATGACATTAAGCAAGCAAGCAAAAATAAAAAATATATATATCAACAGTTTATTCACTCACCAGTTTTCATCTTTTTGACTCTGGAAAGCACGGGTGAAAGTTGTGCCACATTTTAAGGAAAGCAAAATGTCATCTAATTGACAAATCATCTTTACTCAGTAGTTTCGTATCCATTAGGTAGAATAATACACACCAGAAAAATAATTCTTTAACAAAACTAAAGTAGTGAAGCCTGATAGAACCAATGTTATGTATCGAACAGAACAGACCATATGAAGTGTGAGCGGAGAGTGCAAGAAAGCTTTCGGCATGATCAAATTTAAAGCATTGTTTTCTATTCTTTTAGGCCAAACTGAGAAATCAGCCTAACTCTGTCTACAGAATACTATTTTCTTAGGACAATGAAAACTAAATGGAGGGAAGAATCGACATATTTTAAAGGTTACATACTGGATAAGTTAATGCTATCATTTTACAAAGGATGGAAGAAAAAGTTTTTGTGCCAATGTCATTATCACTGTTGTCATGGTGGGTTAACCCTTTAAGTCCCAAGTGACCAACAACAATTTTCTCCTAACAATATCCATTCACTGTCAAGAGATAAAGTTATGACAATTAATAAAATGATCATCATAGAGAAAATTCCATTATCTTTTATCAAATTCTGTCAACTAATTCTTAAAGGAGATGTATGGAGATCAGTTTGGAGAATTTGTATGTGGATATTGGGGCTTAAAGGGTTAAACTCAGTCAACATATGTAGTGAAATAGTAGTTGTACATAGAAAGTGAGGCAATTTGTATTGGTAATACAGTGGAACCTCCACTAATGGCCACTTTTTTTGTCCCAGTGGACAAAACACTTAAAGTCCCAATAGTGACCAACATCAATTTTCTCCTAACAATATCCATACAATGTCAAGAGATTAGGTTATGAGAATTAATAAAATGATCACCTAAGAGAAAATGCTTAGATCTTTTATCAAACTCTCTCAACTCATTCTTTAAGGAAATGTATTGAGATCGGTTTGGAGAATTTGTACATGTATATTGGGGCTTTAAGGGTTAAACCTCTCTGTGATGGCCACCTCTCTACAACAGCAATGGCCACTAAAGCAGGTCCCCAACTGCCCAAATAACCTCTCGACAACAGCCAGCTTTTTTAGCGACTGATGAAAAGGTCAAGAATGGTCATAAAATTTTATCTGTATGACACGTTGCATACTGCATACTGCTGCAGTAAGATTATATTCACTTTGTCTACAACACCTATAGCTATAAAGTTGCACACCTCAAAAATTATTTACATTATTTATGCATTTTATCTCTATTATAAATAATGAGTGGATTACCATTATGGGATACAGCAAGCATGAACTTAGCACAATAAGTATGTTGTACTCCCAAAAAAAAATTTGTCATATTACACCTCTACCTTCCCATAATGGCCACCTCTTCACTAAGGCCACTTTCTTCTGTCCCCAAGATGGCCGTTGTGGAGAGTAGTATACATGAAAAAATAATTTCCTTGATGAAAATTCCTCCCCAAAACAGTCAGACATGGAAATTTGACACAACACCGGTTGACCCAGTCTCAGATTTTACCTCAAAGTGACCAATGCTGCACCTGATTGTTTCGAATGTATTTCTACTGTTATTGGAGAGGAAAAGTACAGTGTGGTAGAGTGTTAATTGCTAAAAGGATATTGAACAACAACTGCTTGAGCTGCTCGTGCTTCAACATAATCACCATTTGCCACAGCCCACACAGCTCTGCAAGTAAAATCAATGATACACACATAAATGAGTAAAAAAAAGTTCTGTTTTTTCTTGTTCTTAACTGCTGCATCAAACCCCCACTGAAAACTTGTTTTAAGACAATTTACACGTAAGGTCACTTACTCTAACTTACTGGCAGAAAAATAATACTGTAATACAGTAAAAACCTGTGACTGAGAACCTATATTATTCCAAGTTAGCCTAAAGAATAATAATAATACAAATTTAGGCTATGTAGGTTCTTGAATAGGTTCATGTTTTCTGAAGAACAAAAAAAACATTGAAGCTAAGAGTATCTAGCGGTATTTTTAGCTTATTCCTTAGTAAAATCTGCATACCATTACACTACAGTTGGAGTAATAAGACCCCTAGGTCTTCAAAGAGGATTCTGAACGTTGACTTACAGATGTATCTTATTTGCCCAAGAGTACAAAATTTTTTCTTATTACACTTTAGAAAATAAGAACCTAAGAACCTATTCCAAATTTTAAGTTAAACAGGTTCTTGTATAGAGGGGGCCAAGCTAGCAAATTTTAGCCTAACAGGTTCTCCAAAACCAGGTTCTTAGCCACGGGTCATATTGACAGTAATCACTGCCCAGTGAGATACAGTTCTTGTTACATTTTCAAATACATCATTGATTGGTTTTTTGACCAGTAATACATGCTGGAGGGAATGGATGTGCATCATTCAGCAGCCATTGGGAGATGGAGGAATGCCGACCTACATGTAAGAGCCAAAGACTGGTGGCACAATAGCCTGAGATCATGCCCTCTCCCTATTATCCCTTTATGTTTCTCACGGGAAGAGGGCATGATACATTTGTTTGTCGGATCACATGTAAAAAAGCCGGAATCTGGACTTTTTTCTGATTGGATAGGAAACAATACGGATGATTTGCGCTGTTCCAATTGGCCAAAATGCCGCCATCCGTTAGTTGTTGTTGATTTCAGTCTGCATTTTTGCTTGCGTCATGAGCAGTGACTACACACGCGAGTTCGTTATAAAATTTCTGCCGGCTCAGTTTTCTTGAATTTGAAGAATGCTTAAATAGAAATTTCACCCATTGAAATATTTTCCATCTCATAGTATACTAAAAAGTTGCAGTCAAAAATTCACCGATCATTTGAATGCAATTTGATACCGGCTACAAGTTACAGAAGCGACAAACGGGTTCACTTTTCAAATAATCAATTCATGAATGGAATCTTGACCTGGTTTGACTGTAATTCCTCCTTCAGAAACCTGAGAATTATTCTGAGCGATCTTCGCTTTCACAACACCTTTCAGATTCGTAAAATATGGTGCTTTAGCCTAATTTTTTTTTCACTGCTTTCGGCACAGAACGAAGTCAACGAGCTTTAACCAGTAAATTCTTTATAATTTGTAGCTCTTAAATAAAGGTACGGCAGCTCCAGCTAGTAGTATTTGAACAACATTTAAAATTCTTTTTAGGAAGCGCCATCTGAACATGGACGTACTCAAAAATTTTCTTTTCCCTAAAATTGATTTTATATTATATATAGATAATATTCGCGCCAAAATTTGATTCCCGTATGGTAAACGCTTATTAGCTAATAACATGACAGGTCAAGGAGACGTTAGATTATGTAAATTAGGGGGCGGTTAACGGCTCGTTAGATGAATGTATCAGGCGTTATTTTTTCCTCTCTCGAGCCAAAGAAACAAAGAGTTATGAGGAGTTTGAGTTATAGGGAGTTCAAAGAAAATAGCTGAGAGTAAGGTAAAAAACAGTTTTTACTGCACAGTGAACATTTTATCACATTTAATTGTAGAAATGTCAAGTGAAAATTAAAAGATACCTCTAGATTATAAATCAGAACGTAACATAACAAAACATAGCCTAAATAGAGCATGCATTTTACTGTTTTGAGAAGAAAAGCTGCTTCACGTTAGCCTGTGACAATCAACATCAGCCTCCACTAGTAAACAATACTCCTACAACACGTCAATAGGAAATTCAAAATTCAATGTTTCGGACGCCAGTAGAAGGCTTTTTTCCCAACTTTTTAAGGGCTCAAAACATGGTTCGAGTTATTGAGGGTAAAATTATATAGAAAATGACCTGACGGGGAACGAAAATTGGTTCGAGTTAGCGGGAGTTCGAGTTATCGAGGGTTCAAGTTACTGAGGGTAAAATTAAAGTGAATGTATGATGGAAATCCAGGGGAGATCGATTTTGGTTCGACTTAGCGTGAGGTTCGAGTTAGCGAGGGTTTGAGTTATTGGGAGTTGACTGTATCTAAGTTTAGAAAAAGAAAATTGCTATCTTGTGTCCTCATAATCTATTAGGCGGGCACCAGAAATTAGGAATTTTCATGTTGCTGTCATGCAAGAGAAGTACAAAAAGTGTGATGCATGTGCAAATTTGCTCTAATATAAACCTGTTGCTTTTTAACCGTTCTCAAAAACATCATCGTTATTGTTGCTTAGGTTTCCTACTGTTGTAATCCAGAAATTTGCTACCATGGTAATGTGATGTAACACTTCTCCTCTCTGTATAGTATCTTAGTTGTAAAATAACTGAGATCCCATTAAATGCAATTACACAAGTATGACTCATTTTGGATCCTCTTACAATATCTATACCTGAGATGTGAAGCTACCATTTCATCGTAGGGTTGTTCAAACCACCTCTCACACTGAACCTGTGCATCTGGTAACTATAAATAAAGATTCATTATGGCATGAGTAAAAAGGAGGACAGCACAGTTCTCTAACCTTTCACAGATGGGGCTGTACAAGCATTGTTTTTTAATCAATCACCTTAAATTTTATGAAAACTCCTTGGTAGTACTTTTAAGACAGTACAGTTACGTACATTAAAATAAGAAGACTGTGTTTAGTACTACAGGGATTATAAACAATGAATAAAATTCATACACGTACCTGAAGTCTGAGACTTGCAATGTGTGGATGGTGAAATGAAAGCAATTCCTGTGACACAAAGACATATTAGTTTTAGTACTACAGTCATTTTCAGTTGTTCAAAAGCTCTACGCCAAATCCATGGCCAAGTTGTTCAAAAGGTAGGTAACCTGATCCACTGGATAAAGAGATTTAATCCTTTTCCTAAGTATAGTGTAATTGGTTTTCCTTAATAATTAGCAAATGGATAGTGATCTATCCAGGAGATAGCACTATTCAAAACTTTGGTTATATTCAACACACCAAATAATATTACTGAATGAGGTTGAAAATGGTGTAAAGAGTAATGCAGAAAAAGAATAATATTATTTACTGAGGCCAGAACCTAAGAGATCCATACAATTCTTCACATCATATGAAAACTGAATTCATCAATATATTTGTTTTATTACTCACTCAAAATATTTCTACTGGCAAGTTCTTAACAACCTTACTAGATTGTAGTCTCTCCTCAAACATTTGCTTCTTGGCATGGTTTTAAGATATAAACAGATGTTTTTTCCTTTCATATAATCCTTGAAAAGTAGATGACCTTCCTTCCAAGGAATTGCTCACTATTGTATTTCTCTGTTCAGTTGTTTTGTGGTCAGAAATTCAGCTTTTCATCTTTGGATAGCCACGAACATCTCTTCCTTTCAGTTCACTCAGGCATAAACAGCTACAGGTATAAACAGCTGTAAGCTGCTGCACTCTTAAGTTCTGCATAACTGAACTGGTTATTGCCTGAAAACAAGGCTGCTAGCAATATACCAACGAATTGGCACATTATTGCCCACACCTTCCAAATTCAGTCAGTGCTAGCCAGTTAGGAAGAATTAGCCGGGGATTGTAGCTGATCAGAAACAGCAAAATAGTTTGAATGAATACTACAATGGTTTATCAGCAAAATAATTCTTAAGGATGAGTGTGGGTAAGGCTATTGCCAAAGTTGTTTTCCAGTATTTATTTTCAGCTGCCTTTTAGATTTGATTTCCTGGTAAACTTAGATGTAGTAAATGAAATATTGCAATTATTTATTTATAATTGGAACCTTTGACTCTGCAAAAGTATATTCCTCTGTCTCACTGACTCTAGCTTGCGTCGCAGGCGCTTGAAAGAAATGGGTGCAAGAAGGAGCCCTGTGCTCAAGACGAACAAGTGAGGTGAGAGGGAGCGCCTGGCCAAGAAGCCTATGAAAATCGTTTCCCGCCCTCATTCTTATTATCTAGCGGCTGCTCTGTGATCTGTCAAAAATTTTGACATAAAACGATCCAGATCGACCTCGCACAAATAGAGGGTTTCAAAGCATGTTATATTTTTATATCGTCAGTCTAAATATCTGTTACAAAGATCAGCTACATGATCTGATTATAGAACAAATGGAGCAATAAACCGATGACAAACACACAGCATTAAATTGTTTTTAACCAAACGCACAATAAATACGAAAAAAAAAAAAAAAACTGGATACATTTATAGAATGCATGCTTTGTATTATAGAAAGCTAATATATTGTTCTCTGAGATTGCAAAATCACAACTGTACAGACACCAAAGATCACAGGGTATGTGGAAAATGACCATGACAGACTGTACTTTTGTGCAAAGTNGTTCAATGACGTCACGATTCCCGCCTTTTGCTTTTGTTGAATTGGTTTCTCCATATAATAAAAAGAATATTACACGTTGGCTCGAAGATATGAATTTTATGTTCTCGTGGCAAGAACAATATCTCTCTTCGCTTTGCTTCGCTCACTCGTGAGATATTGTTCTTGCCACTCGAACATAAAATTCATATCTTCTCGCCACCGTGTAATATCCTCTATTTATATTTTTATATCCTCAGTCTAAATATCTGTTATAAAGATCAGCTACGTGATCTGATTATAGAGCAATGGAGAAATAAACCAACGACAAACACACAGCATTAAAATAATTAATGTTTTTAACCAAAGACACGATAAATACGAAAAAACAGAGTAAAACCTGGATATATTTATAGAATGCATGCTTTGTATTATAGAAGGCTAGTACAGTCGACTCTCGATAACTCGAACCCTCGCAAACTCAAACCTTGCCCTAACTCGAACCAAAATTTCCAATTAAATGTGATTAAAATGTTCCCTGTACAGTAAAAAATGTTTTTTCCTTAATTCGGCTATTTTCTTTGAGCTCCCGATAACTCGAACTCCTGATAACTCGAACTTTTTTCACGCTCCCTTGAAGGTTTGACTTATCGGGAGTCGACTGTATATTGTTCTCTGAGATTGCAAAATCACAACAGTACAGACACCAAAGATCACAGGGTATGTGGAAAAATTACCATTGCAGACTGTACTTTTGTGCAAAGTGGTAGCTGATTAATTTTTTGAGCAGACATGTCTTGTTAAAGGGACCTAAAGTTCAGGATGTAAACTGTAGCAAGACGTTTTTATGGGCTACAGTAATGAGACATTAACATCAGTCATCAGGTCGCATACAAGTTAATGATATCAATGCTAAATAGCGAGAGGTTTTTTTGAAATTCTTCCCCCTAGTAAGTGTCTCATTTCATCAATCCTGTGTAGGTCTTGATGGTATGTATTTCATCGACAATGTAAGCTGCAAAGTTCTTTTTGAACAAAGAATATTTCCTCTGATCTTCATTTCAATGATTCAGCAAATCTTTTGTCTGTCACCACTTCTGCTAATGGGTATTTGATGTCAAATCACTCCTTTATGAATACCATTTGGCACAATCCAATTTTTCTTTGAGATTACAGCCACATAAGTGACCTCCAAGATCTGATTTTTGATTATACCATTTACTGTTGTAATAAGACCTTCATTGTATTACATATTTAAAAAACGATCTCACCTTTTCTTTGATTGACAGTTTTCTTGCCTAAGGCAAACACTTATCCCCTCGGGAGCCTATTAACCAAGGAGTTTTTCGCACTCTCAGAAAGCAAGTAAAAACAGCGATCCCTCTCCCCTTGTGTGTCTCCCTAACACACCCCATTCTTTTTTGCACCTTTTTCTTCTAAGCGCCTGCTACGCAGGTTAGTCTCATTCTGACTGTCCAATAAACAAATTATAGGTTTTTGACTAATCAGAATGTGAATCCACTCTCATTATTTTCATAAAGTGCAAAATAAGACATGCACATGTACCCTACACTGTATTATATGTGTGAACTGAAGAAAAACATCTGCAAACAAGAGTCTTGACTGGTTTGGTCAAAAATGTGATTGTTCGAGAGTATTGCCATGCAGAACAAAAGAAATTTTAAATTACATAACTCACGACAGTTCACTGAAAACTTCTCTTGCTACAATGACATACAACAGTCAGTGAGTTAAGCCTATACACCAGCAGTGACACCAGGAAGTTTCCTCTATTATAACCACACAAACAACGCTTACGACGCTTACCGCTAAAATGTCACCATTCTTGGACACAAGCCCTCTTTCCACCTAATATATTTTATAGAAGGATGTCAGTATTTCACCCGATGATTTCAGAGCAAAGAAATTTAGCTGCTTTTCAAACCTGATCAAGATACTGTTCCAGGCTCATGTGCGCCATTTTGGAAATTAGCCTCAACGGCGCATGTGTTTGATTAACTCCGCTGACAGAGGTTTTTGGCGGGAAAATCGCTGTAGGGCATTGGATTACGTTCCGATATCTAGGGATAATTCCTGGGTGGTATTTTCCGGGGGGGGAAGCAAAACTACGGGGGTAAAATACCAGCGGTGTAAAATTACAATGTTCAGTCGGGAGAAAGTTCGCATTATCAGTCTTACCATATCAGGAAGTTCGTAGCGAGGTGATTTTACTTCCTGGACCTCGGAAGGTGGAAGCTCCCATTTTCATGAAGTGAAACAGGCGGCAAGTGGCAGCACTCACTCTGTTTGTACAGGTAGGGCGACTAGTTGCAGCAACACGTTGCAGCGACAAATCGCTTTGTGTGTACTGGAGAATTTTTGTAAAAATCTTTGTCTCTGCAACAGAATTTTGCCGCCGCAAAAAGTCGCACAAATTGTCTGATTTGATTTTTTGCGACTTGTTGCAGCTACATAATGCTATTGTGGAGACAGATTTTCTGCAAAAGTCATGCAGTACACACGAAGCGATTTGCCGCCGCAACGTGTTGCTGCAACTAGTCGCCCTACCTGTACAAACAGAGTGAGTGCTGCCACTTGCCGCCTGTTTCAACTGCGGCGACATGTTGCTTCAACTTGTCGCCTAGTATGTACCGACCTTCACTGAATCTTTTGATGAACGAAAATTTTCATTATTTTACCTAGTTTATTTTGGCTTATCATATTCATTACTTAACAATTTAAATTCAATTTCATATTTCTGAAGCTCACGCTGGCCTCTTAATTATAAACTTTGCGACACTTTTGGTAAAGGTTTGTTAGTTGTCCTTTTATTCTCAGCCCATCCCCTTTTTTTCTTCGTTTACCGTCGAATGCGTTTCCTGATATTGAGTCAGTCGGTCGGATTGAAAAAAAAAACTAAAAAAAAAATCACCAGAAGTCTCGGAATAGTAGGCCCTGGTACCCCAGGACGACGTTAAAAGTTAATATTCACATAATTGGATTAACAAAATGTACAATATACCGAGAAAAATGTTCATGTTTTTGCTCCTGTTTTTCTCTATGCTGTTACTATGCTCATTTTTCAGATTAACAGAGTTATTTCAAGTAAAAAATGGTGTAAATACGTCGTTACTTTTTTTTTTTAAATGCTAAAATTTTGGGTCGGTCGGACGACGGTAAGCGGAGAAAAAAAGAGGATGGCCTAATTTGAGACTTTCAGGACTTTTAAGGGGCTTCCTAAATAAAACCTTTTAACAGCTTGCAGTATCTAATAGGACAACTAGATTTTTGACTCAAGACGTGATGGTGTTAAAACTCTTGTTCTATCCAGGATTAATCTAGTTTTAGATCACTGTTTCAAGTTTGCGCGCGCGAACTATTTGAGTAATGTAGCTCGCGCAGCGTACGAAAAGTTCAATACTATGACGCAACAATCAGATCTTCCATTGTTACGAAAAATAAAAAGTTGTTTAGAGTTCATCGTTTGTGCTGCAGGCAAGAAAAAAGTCCGGATAAAACCATTCTTAAGTTATTCCGTGTACACTGTTAACTGGTGCAGATATGGTAAGTCAATATTCATTCCTAAACTGAGGATAAAAAGATATTTTCCAGAACTAATTGAGCGCAAGAAGGCATAATCCGCCATAGTGTAGTCCCCAAGTACAGCTTTGAAACTTCGTCAACAAATAGTAACTTCCCTCGCGTTATTGTCCTTTCTCATGACGTTTTTTCGCCTTCACTTGCGTTCATTGAAAATACGTTATTTAAAAAAACTAATGGAGACGGAGGTGGATGCAAAAAATTCAGAAAGAGGGAACTATAGATACTACTGAGAAGTTTAAAAAAACTCTGATAGCATCTGTGTCCAAAAAGAGGTTTTACGGATAATTCTTTTTAGTAAAATCCAACTAGTGGTCTATTATCAATGCTGCGTTTTGATTGGTTGTCTGAGCTACTACTAGCCTATATAATATTATTATGTTAAAACCCGGCTTTTAACACAATTTGAGAAAATGGGGCAACCGCACCCTCGGGGTACCCCCTGTAACTTGCAATTGGAAGAATTTATTCCCTGTAATAAGGTAAGACACAGGGGTAAGGTAATCTCGTTATGGATAGTGGCCACCTAGCAGAGATAATCTTTAGATATGTTATCTAATTTTCTGTTGATTTACTATGTAAAAGCATCTTTTTCTGTTGGCAGGTCAGATTTGAACGTATCCCCAATGAACGAAAAGACCATACGCTGCAAAATAAGCCTGGAAAATTACGGAGGCTGATGCTCAACGCGGTTTTGTCAGCTGTTACAGTTAGCCGTATCTCTAAACGAAAAGCTGAACGAAAACTTTCCAAAACTCCATTTAGTTTTGAGAATCCAGGTAATATACTAAATATATTTTTTGTGTACATATATTTAGAACGCTTTTAACAGAATTCTCAGGGGTTAATTTAGATGGCGTGTAAGGTCCTCCAGCGGAAATCCATGAACAAAAAATAGTATCTCCAGGAGCCTATCGTTCATCAATAGAGCTCGTTAAATTCACGCAAGCAAGAACAGTTTACCAAATAAATTGTTCTTTGCTTTTTTAAAGATGATTTTAACGCCTGGGAAAAAGACATAATTGAAAAAACGCATATATATTTTTGCAAACAGTCCTTAGGCGTAAATAAACAATGTCCAAACGTCGCTGCTAGAAAGAACATCTCTTCCTTTCAGTTCACTCAGGCATAAACAGCTACAGGTATAAACAGCTGTAAGCTGCTGCACTCTTAAGTTCTGCATAACTGAACTGGTTATTGCCTGAAAACAAGGCTGCTAGCAATATACCAACGAATTGGCACATTATTGCCCACACCTTCCAAATTCAGTCAGTGCTAGCCAGTTAGGAAGAATTAGCCGGGGATTGTAGCTGATCAGAAACAGCAAAATAGTTTGAATGAATACTACAATGGTTTATCAGCAAAATAATTCTTAAGGATGAGTGTGGGTAAGGCTATTGCCAAAGTTGTTTTCCAGTATTTATTTTCAGCTGCCTTTTAGATTTGATTTCCTGGTAAACTTAGATGTAGTAAATGAAATATTGCAATTATTTATTTATAATTGGAACCTTTGACTCTGCAAAAGTATATTCCTCTGTCTCACTGACTCTAGCTTGCGTCGCAGGCGCTTGAAAGAAATGGGTGCAAGAAGGAGCCCTGTGCTCAAGACGAACAAGTGAGGTGAGAGGGAGCGCCTGGCCAAGAAGCCTATGAAAATCGTTTCCCGCCCTCATTCTTATTATCTAGCGGCTGCTCTGTGATCTGTCAAAAATTTTGACATAAAACGATCCAGATCGACCTCGCACAAATAGAGGGTTTCAAAGCATGTTATATTTTTATATCGTCAGTCTAAATATCTGTTACAAAGATCAGCTACATGATCTGATTATAGAACAAATGGAGCAATAAACCGATGACAAACACACAGCATTAAATTGTTTTTAACCAAACGCACAATAAATACGAAAAAAAAAAAAAAAACTGGATACATTTATAGAATGCATGCTTTGTATTATAGAAAGCTAATATATTGTTCTCTGAGATTGCAAAATCACAACTGTACAGACACCAAAGATCACAGGGTATGTGGAAAATGACCATGACAGACTGTACTTTTGTGCAAAGTGGTAGCTGATTTTTGAGCAGACATGTCTTCACTGATGTCTTACTAAACGGACCTAAAGTTCAGGATGCAAACTGTAGCGAGATGTTTTTATAGGCTACAGTAACGAGACATTAACATCAGTCATCAGGTCAGATTTGAGCTAATGATATCAATGGTGAATAGCCAAAGGGTTTTTTGAAATTTGTCCCCCTAGTAAGTGTCTCATTTCATCAATCCTGTGGAGGTCTTGATGGTATGTATTTCATCGACAATGCAAGCTGCCAAGTTCTTTTTGAACAAAGAATATTTCCTCTGATCTTCATTTCAATGATTCAACAAATCTTTTGTCTGTCACCACTTCTGCTAATGGGTATTTTGATGTCAAATCATTCCTTTGTGAATACCATTTGCACAATCCAATTTTGCTTTGAGATTACAGCCACATAGTCTTATTAAATAAGTGACCTCCAAGATCTGATTTTTGATTATACCATTTACTGTTGTAATAAGACCCTCATTGTATTACATATTTAAAAACAATCTCACGTTTTCTTTGATTGACAGTTTTCTTGCTTAAGGCAAACACTTATCCCCTCGGGAGCCTATTAACCAAGGAGTGTTTCGCACTCTCAGAAAGCAAGTAAAAACAGCGATCCCTCTCCCCTTGTGTGTCTCCCTAACACACCCCATTCTTTTTTGCACCTTTTTCTTCCAAGCGCCTGCTACGCAGGTTAGTCTCATTCTGACTGTCCAATAAACAAATTATAGGTTTTTGACTAATCAGAATGTGAATCCACTCTCATTATTTTCATAAAGTGTAAAATAAGACATGCACATGTACCCTACACTGTATTATATGTGTGAACTGAAGAAAAACATCTGCAAACAAGAGTCTTGACTGGTTTGGTCAAAAATGCGACTGTTCGAGAGTATTGCCATGCAGAACAAAAGAAATTTTAAATTACATAACTCACGACAGTTAACTGAAAACTTCTCTTGCTACAATGACATACAACAGTCAGTGAGTTAAGCATATACACCAGCAGTGACACCAGGAAGTTTCCTCTATTAAAACCACACAAACAACGCTTACGACGCTTACCGCTAAAATGTCACCATTCTTGGACACAAGCCCTCTTTCCACCTAATATATTTTACAGAAGGATGTCAGTATTTCACCCGATGATTTCAGAGCAAAAAAATTTAGCTGCTTTTCAAACCTGATTAAGATACTGTTCCAGGCTCATGTGCGCCATTTTGGAATTAGCCTTAACGGCGCATGTGTGATTAACTCCGCTGACAGAGGTTTTTGGCGGGAAAATCGCTGTAGGGCATTG